AAAACAAAAACTTAGTTGTAGAAGGCGCCCTAGAGGTGGTACACGGATAAGTTTTCCTTGAATCAGTAACTCAAATATATAGTACTAGAATATATAGAATCTTCCAAAGGTAGTAGTCAGCATGTCCACAAGTACAACCACTGGGTTCTATCATCACTCTCAATACCTCATGTTTACATGAGTTTACATGAGTTTGACCGAATTTTCACCAGATCTTGAGAAATAGTCCTATTTTCTACAAAATTAGTGATAAGGTTCAGTCAGCACTTTACATCTTAGGCGATAAAAATGAGTTCGTTGATACGATCAGCAGCGGCTGAAGGTCTCGAGCTCTCGACGTCATATGATGTCAAATCTCGTCTTTCTTTCACGTCTCACGTCTCAATCTCTTCACCTTCATCTCGACATTCTTCGAATCTCGTTGCACCACATTCTACACGACCACATGAACTTCCATTACGTTATCATTGGGCAAGTTATTTACAAAAGCGTAGTGACTGGCTTAAACATTGGGAAACATATTATTTTGTATTACGTGGTCATTTTCTTTACTGCTATTTGTCCGAAGAAGATGCACGTCGACAGAATGCTAAGTCGAAGATTAAAAAGGGCAAGTTTGGGTTCTCTGATCGTGTATCACTTGTTAAAGCATGGGATGTTGAAGAAGTTGTAAATGTCACTATGAATGGATCAGTGGGGATAACAACATCATCGACACCTGTGACTGGGTCTGGTATGAATTCACCTATAGATTCTATCGATACTTTCACTTCATCTACTAACGTTTTGGATCCCGAATCAGCGTGTAGATTTACTTTAGTCACGCGAAAAGGTCATCATCTTCATTTTCGTACTACTTCACAGGCTAGTAAATATGTTTGGCTACATTTTGTAGCTAATGCTATTGCTGATCATGATATGTCTGGCCATTTACGTCCAGCAGTGCAGCGACTACGCACGAATATCGAAGATTTTTATAAAGCCTATGAGTATTTCTATACTGCACTTTGTGCTCGAGTTACGGCTGATGAAAGGGGGGTACGAATCAATACGCCAATGTCTCCATCTGCAACCACATCACAGACTTCTAGTGGAATTGTGGATGAAACAACAGACAGATCAAGTCTCACACTATCACTTCCAAGCAAAAAATCAGCATCATCGTTTCTATCATTTACTCCAAATCAATCGCTTACAAAAACTAATGTAGTAGCTCCAATGGATCATGCACTTGTTCGATTCTTTTCGCTTTTAAAGTCAGATGTGATTGTACGGAGTAATTATCTCCCAATGGTCCCGTTTGAAGGAAAATTTCGTGGATTTAGTGGTATATTGGAATATTTTACACGATTATCTCAGTCGGTACAAGTTGAACAATTTCTTGTTGAAAGCATTTGCATCGAGCAAGACGAAGAGGAAACGTCCGAGTCCAATCATTGCCATTCTCGAGCACGCAATCGCGTCGTTATTATCTCTGGAAGAGAAACGATGCAAGTGCGATATAATCAAACAACTTTTGTACAACAATGGACTCATAAATTGCATTTTAAACCGAACGATGGTGGTCGTGTGAGTCGATGGGAAATCTATGGAGATGTGGTGGCGTCTAGTGTTGTATTTAAAGCTCCTGGTTGTACGACAAATCTCACGTTGCCTTCATTAGCGGAACGTATTCGTGAGTCAGTTGTCGGAGGATATGTGGTGTCAATTCATCTATACCAAATCACGGACGTTCGGTCAAAAGAATTGCAAGGCGACGAGTTTTTTGTACGATGTTCACTAGACACTAATGAATTTGAAGGAGTTTGGCACACGGAAGCTCAGTCTCGAGCGGCTGCCCCGATTGAATGTACGACTGACTCCAATGAAGTGACACTATCGTGGTCGTACAATTATGACCAAGAGTTGTTTTTGCAATTTGATCGACTATCGCGTGATGATAATACAGTTTTACTAATTGAATGTTGTCGCTGCTCGAATCACGAGGTAGTTGCTCGTACTCATGTCAACCTTGCCAGCTTTCTCAACAATAGCAATCAAAGTTGTGGGTCTACAAAATCTTCTAGTACTACTTCCAATCGATTAATGGGGCGACGAAGTCGAAGTAAAGCAGAAAACGTTGTTTCACATAGTGATAAATTACAGAGCTATGTGTTGTCGAATGATCATCAGAGTTTCTTTGGAAAACTGCAATTACGAATAACCATTTCATCCATGTCACAACGTTCTCGATCACAACGTGCTTCATATTCGAGTTTTCGACGTAGTTTTCGAAGTTCGTATTCGGATGATAACAACACTGAAACACTTTTTCCTGAAAGTTCGTCTACAGCACGAGCGAGTTTTCGATCATTGACAAAACTGACACATCACGTCTCATTTCCTGGAGAAGAAGTGATGCATCAATTTGTAATTAATGGTGTACGATATCAATTGGCGGAAAAGTATCGTATGGTGAAGATTGTTGGCAAAGGAACGTATGGTGAAGTGATTGCAGCCAGCGATTTTGTACATGGTGGTACGTTTGCTATCAAGAAATTGGGCCAATTCGTACGACATCCAAAAG